CGGTTGGGGGTGCGTGAAGAAGCAGCCGGCCCGCCCTCCGTTCCCGGCCGTCCCCGGCTAAAGGGGGCTCGGTACAAGCCCTGCTCCGGGGCTGTGGCACAGTGCTGAGAGCCGGCCTTAGGGAATACAAACCTGCATAGCTTCACGGTTTGCTGTGTTGTATGACATTTCCCATCCCCGTTTATTTTGGTTCAGTTCCTTATCTGAAAAAGTTACCTTGAGGAGATCTTCGAAGGCTCTTTGCTTTAGCTGCAGTAATGCTTATGGAGCGCTCTCTGTTTAGATGACTGAAATGCATCAAAACCGGCGCGACACCAAATACATGGGAGCTCTGAGGGCACTCTGGTTGGCCCGAAGGGCCTGCTTAATACTCCTTAGTCAAGTGTGTCCAGATAGTACTTTGCATGCTCTAAAAAAGAAAATGTGTAGAAATCAGGGTTCATTTGTACTTAATTAAAGTTCATAACCTAAAGCAGTGAAAATGTAACTTGAGCTTTCTATAATCTTGATCTGCCCTAATAGAAGAGAGACAACTTGCACGATGGTAAAGGATAGCTGTCAAGTGGCCTGTGCTCTCTACATCTCAGCATTGCGGCTGTAATAAGTGAATAATTTCACTTTCCATTGTTTTTAACATGGCTTTCAAAAAACTAAAACTTTCCTCTGCTATTTCCAAGTCAGGCTCTACTCCGCAGGCTGTCCTGCATTTCTGTGACAAATAAAGGCAGACCAGATCTCACTCAGAAGTGGTCTGCTCTTCAAGGGAGCCCTGCCCTGGAGTGATGCTTCTCAAAGACTCTGTTTCCTTCCACAGAAGTCTTTCAGGAGTCTCAGCTGTATGAATTAGTTTTATATTATATTTATATTTTAAAATATAATTTATATTTTGTGCCATTATATTCCAGACTTCTGAACTGAAAAGGGAAAAGTCCTTGCGGTGGTGGGGTTTTTTACCCCCATTACAAAGAGTCATGGAATCTTGTTAAAGATCACTGCTTTGTTTTTGCAGTCTCCACTAGAACTGGTTGTTGGGGGCTCATTCAGCCTTTCCTCAGGAGGGAAGGCTTGAAGCATTAGGCAGATAATCCTGCTGGCATGTGTTCTCCGTGTGGAAAACAGGAATGAGGAAGCTAAATGTAAAGTCATTCCTGAAACCAAAGCAGAATCATTGTTATGAAACTGGTTGCAAGGTTGTTCTTTGGTTTGGGTTTGTTTGTTTTTTTGGGTTTTTTTCCCCTTTTTGTAGACCTTTCCTGTGCTTTGAGCATGAAGTCATCCCCTCATTTGTAGGATGCTGGGCTCTGCTGGGGGTTTTTTGTGTAGAGAAAATGTAGAAGTGCTCCATCTGACAGAGATCATGAGAACTGATGCTGGCTTCATGTTCAAGTCCTGATGCCTCTTTCCTGTCTTGTTGATGTGCAAGGACGTGGTGGCAGCTCTTGCTTTTTTTTTCTGATATCAGCATATGGTTTATCTTTAGTTATACAGCTCATTTCATCCATAGACAGTAAGAACCATACAACAGGAGATCTAAGGTAAACAGACATCTGCTGGGTTTATTCCAGGTTTCCAGCCCCAGTAAGTTTCATGAATGAGTCTCGCAGTGAGATCCAAATTGGCTGCTATTGCATTGGAAGCTGTGTATCTCCAGGTCGATAACCATAGTTACAGGGTTATAATTCCCAAAGCTCAACAAGTTTGTTCTTGTGGGCAGTGTGCTCCAGAGTTCCCTTTTTGTCTGGGCATTCTGACCTGTATCAGAAACAATGGGGCCAGCAGGACCAGGGCAGTGATTGCTGTGCTCAGCAATGGTGAGGCCACACCTTGAATCCTGTGTCTGGTTCTGGCCTCTTGTGACAAGAAAGACATTGAGGTGTTAGGATGTGTCCTGAGAAAGACAGCAGAGCTGGGAAAGGTCTAGAAAGTAAGGAATGTGAGGAGCAGATGAGAGAGCTGGGGGTGTTTAACCTGGAGAAAAGGAGACTCAGGGAAGACCTTATCACCCTCAACAACCATCTGAAAGGAGGTTGTGGGTGATCATCCTCTTGTCTCAGGTAACCTGTGACAGGCCAAGAGGACATTGACTCTGACTGCACCAGGGAAGGTTCAGGTTGGACATCAGGAAGAAATTTTTCACAAAAAGGGTGGTAAAGTCTTGGAGCAGGCTGTGCAGGGAAGTGTGGAGTCACCACCCCTGGAAGTGTTCAAGAAATAACTGGATGTGGCACTTAGTGCTGTGGCTTTGTTCACAAAGTGATGATCATTCAAAGGTTGGACTCGATCTTGGAGGTCTTTTCCAGCCTTGGTGGTTCTGTGGAAGTGAGTGGGCAAGCTCCTCTGCCAGCTCCCTCTGTACCCTGGGTGGGATCCCAGGGGACCTGTGTTAGTGTGGGTGTCCAGGTGGTGTAGCAGGTCTCTGGCTGTTTCCTCCTGGCTTATGGGGGCTTCATTCTGCTCTCTGTCCCTGGCTGGCTACCATGAGGACTGCTGCTCTCTCTGAGGCAAAGTACTTCTGCCTTTTCCTCATCCATTGTCATATATTTGCCTGTGCATCAAGTGAAGGATGGTGATTCTCTTTAGTCTTCCTTTTCTTGCTGAGATATTTGTAAAAATATTTTGTGTCATCTTTTATGGCGGTAGTCACATTAAATTCTGTTTGGGCTGTAGCCCTTGTAATTTTCTCCCTGCATGACCTCTTGACATCCTTGTGGTCCTTCACTCATCATCTCCATCAGTCAGTGGAGTTACCTCTTGGTAACATCAGTGTGAAGCAAAGAAATCCAGTCTGGTTTCTGCCCTTCTTAGTATGAGGTTTAGTTTGGCATACTTGCAGTGAGACCTTGGGTTGTGAATGGAACAAGTGCTCCCTGTGGTCATTGCAGCTTTCCTCACACAGTAAAGGTCAATAGCATTCTCCTTGCAGAAACACCAGTGTGAACAAGGTGAACATTCATGAAGAACTGTATGCTGAGTTCCCTTTGGTTTTCCCTGGATAAATGCTACCCTCTGGAAGGAAGTCTTTTTATATCCCTCTGAATGCCATTATAAATGGAACAGAGACAGGAGGAAAACCCTTCCAAAAAGATGTTAATCCCAGTACTAGGAATTTTTCTGTTGCATTAAAGATCTAGAGATCTAGCAGAAAAGGAACCCCCTTAGGTTCCAGCTGCTCCTCAGAGATCAGAAGAGCTGGGTGCAGTTTGGGCCCAAGTTCTGGTTATAGCCCATTGGACACTGCCTGGCTGAGTTCTGTAGGAACTTTAAAGGATTCCGATTCACAAACAGTGCAGGAATTGAAGTGACAGGAAAGCAGATTCTCAATTGCTGGTGGCAAATGCAGCAGCTACAGAGTGTTAATATGTGCTGTTACCAAAGAAATAGTGACTTAGATCTAAGTAAATATTCTCAGGTCTGTTCCAAGACAGTTGGGAGGCACAGACCTCCCCTAAAGGTGTCCCTTCAGGGACAAGGAGTGACACAGTCCATCAGCTGATCCAAAGCAAGCAGAGGGGCTTTCCTCTCTATTGTTTTGCATGTTTGTTTGGTTGTTGTTTTTTTCCCCAAACCCCCAAAGTAGTGTAATTTTTTGCTCTTCCCAGAGGGGTGGAACAATTGCACATTATAGGTGAGATTTTGGTTACTGGGGTTGCTGAAACAATTTTGAAATTAAAGATTGTGGGTTTTTTCTTTGAAATCTGGTGTGTTTTTTTCATCAGAGCTGCTTCTTGGTGCAGAAGTGGTTCGAGGCTTCCCTGCCATTGGTTGCAACTCTCTTGAATCAGGAGTGTAACAGACTAAACTCGATCAAATGAGGGAATAGGTGGTTCAGATAAATATATTCTTCCTTCTTTTCCTAGAAATTTTCCTCTGGCAACATTGAATGTTTCAATGGACACTGTTTAAGATCGATGAGAAAAAACATGCAGCGCTGCTCAGAGTCGAGCTTTGACAAAAGCATGGAAATCCTAAGTGAGAATGTCAATCGCCACTTCTCAAGGTATTGTATTTCTGGTGT